CAGCCAGCGCTATACCATGAGTTCATGACCCTGTCTCAAAAAACCAAAACCAAACAAACAAAGGAAAAGCTAAATTTTAAGTTTTGTGTATGCCACCTCAATTAAAAATAAAAAATACTAAAAGCATCTCTAATTAATAGTCTGAAACATAAGTGCTAATATTATGTTTCTGAAATAAGGATAGGATGCTATAAAAAAAGAATGAGAAATTGCTGTTGAAATGAAAAACTTACATGTCAGGAAGAAACCTTAAAAAAACGTCTGGGCTGGGGGTGTAGCTCAGTGTTAAGTGTATTTGCCTAGCATGTGCAAGGCCTTGGGTCCCACGTCCAGTACCCCCAAAGTGGGGGGACAGAAACAGAGGGAGAGACAAAGGGCAGGAAGAAAGGAAAAAAGGGAGAGAGAGAATTTCTAATAGAAAATCTGGAGGATAAAGCTGAAATAATACCCCAGAAAACAGAATGTTGTTTGTTTTGTTTCTTTTTTTGTACCGGCAATTGAACTCAGGACCTTGTGTTTGCCAAGCAGGTGCTGTGCCACTGAGCTGTATCCCCAGACCTTTGAAAGCTTTTTTTGAAAGTGGAAAATTAAAAAATAAAATTAAAAAAAATAAATAAATAAAGTGGAACATTAGAACATTTTGGGGGAAAAAATATAGGATCAATCAAGGAGATCAAACAAAAAGAGAGAAAATGTGATAGAGAAAATTAACACAAAGAAACTTCCCCAAACCCGATTTCTAAGATTATAAGAGGTTAATTTCCTGATTAAACGGCCCGGTAAATGCCCATTGTGAATGCAAATCATCATGCAACTTTAGAACTCTGATGGTTCCTAAAAACTTCCAGAAAGGAAAATCATGTCACATACATAGAATCAGGTTTGTTATTTGACTGTTTAATTTTATTTGCTTGAGGATCAAATCCAGAGCCTCTGGCACCCTAAGCAAGTGCTCTATCACTGAGCCACATGGCATATTTGACTTTTTAACAAAAACAGTGAATCATGTCTTCAATTTTGAGGGCCAGGGGGAATTTATTTCCAATCTGAAATTCAAAACCAAGCCAAACTATCAATCAAGGGTGCTGGAGTAAGCCAGGCCCATGCCTGTAATCCCAGCACTCAGGAGGCTGAGGCAGGAGAATTGCTGCAAGTTCGAGATCAGCCTGGGTTACAAAGTGAGCTCAAGGCCGGCCTGAGCTGCATAGCGAGACACTGTCTCGAAAAGATCGAAACAAACAAACAAACAAACAAACAAAGGACGCTGGAGTAAATGCTGTGCTAAGGCAAGAGATTCAGAAAACAGGACTCAAAAACAAAGAAAATCCCTAGGATGGGAAGAGAGCAAAGTCCCAGAACCACAGCCCAGCAGCCTGTGGAGTAAACAATCTCAGTAGGAGCCCAGGGAGGATAGGGGCAAGAGGCAGGGCTCTGAGAAACACAAAGAATTAGGAAGACCTTTGTCTCCATGCTGGGTGTTCCCAGCCATGTGCCCAACCGGGTCCAAAGAAGTTTTAGGGTTTTGTCGAGAGCTAGAAAATGAATAAATGATAGGCACATAAGGAAGATTTGTTTTAAACTCTGAGGCGATGACTAACTTTCAGAAACAACCAGAAGAGTTGTCTAATTAGGGAAACAATCATGGCACACTTCAAGACTCAACTTTGAACACTAGTTACTGAGTCACAATAATTAAACACTGAATATTGCTAACAACAAAAAATTGTAACTAAACTAGGAGGGCGGGGGAGGTAGATAAAAGAGCAATAATCCTTACCTTTTCAATAGAGAGGCAATAGACAATGATTTTGTTCTTCGTTTTTTGGGTTTTTTTTTTTTGTCTTTTTGAGACAGGGTCTTGCTACGCAGTTCAGACTGGCCTTGAGCTCACTTTGTAGCCCAGGCTGGTCTTGAACTCTCAACGATCCTCCTGCTTCAGCCACCCGAGTGCTAGGATTACAGGCGTGCACTACCACACCCGGTTTAGATGATTTTAAAACCAGGAAATCTGAATTAGAGATGTCATTTAGAAATATACAAAAACAAACTATTGCACAGGTGGTGACACACGCCCATAATCCCAGCACTCGGGAGGCTGAAGCAGGAGGATTACTGAGAGTTTAAGGCCAGCCTGAACTACACAGTGAGACCCTGTCTCAAAATAAAACAAAACTATTCCATTAGCTGTTTTTTGTTTTGTTTTGTTTTGTTGTTTTTTGGGGTTTTTTTTTTAGGCAGGGTCTCACTATATAGTGCAGGCTGCCTTGAACTCACAGCGATCCTCCTGCCTCAGCCCAGTCTCCCAAGTGCAGAGATTACAGGCATGCACCACCAGTTTAGCTGTAGTTTTATATAGTTCCCACCACCCCTACCCAGTAAGGATCTTTTCCATAAACCAGAACAGAAGCCACACCCCCAGGATTAAGGAATATAGCTTCCCCAGGCTAGGACAGGCGAGCGGAGGCTCTCAGTCTGCTGAAATATTTCACCTCTAGTCCTCTGATAGGCAGAAGGCTCAGAGTTGCCAGAAAAAAATGCAGGCAATATTTGGCCCCTCTGACACTTTAAAAAACTGTTTGCCTAAAATGCAAATTTAATTTTATCTTTAACTCTAACAACACTAAGGAGGCAGCATTTTCCTTCTAGCCAAAGCTTAGAGTTTTTCTCCATTTTGCAAATGAGGCTTTGTCTCTGGCCTCTCCCACTACTCCTTGCATTTGGGTTAGGAAAGTCAAGCAGTGTAGGAGAGTGGCCCCAGGAAACCCAAGGCAGAACCCAGCTGAATTTTTCAGGGAGCAGACTTGCAGGTCAAAAGTACATGAAGTCCTTTATAAAGGGATTTGGTTGGGTTAATATCTCCACTGGCCCAAGAGGCAAATCTGGCACTAGGAAAAAGCACTCCAAGGACCCCTGGCTTCGCTGAGCCTATCCTCTCCCTGGAAATGAGGCCACCTCTTGGGTGAAGTCTCACTATGAGACTTCTCTGTCCTTCTTGTATGAATTTGTACCACAAGCACGTATTACTTTTATAATCAGCAAAAAGCAATAAAGACATTACCATATTGAAAATAAAACTCATTTGAGCAGAACACCCTCCAAAGCAAGATTCTGCAACTCTAAGTTATTTATTTGCATATTATTTTAGGAGCATTCAACCCCGTTGGTGGTTTGTTATTTTACTTTATTTCTCCCAGGAATTATGAACCCAGGCACCTAAGGCCCCTGCCTGCTGGCCCAAAGGAGCACACCATCTTGTCACTGTCCCCTACTCAGATTTCACTGGGTTTAGCTTAGCTCTGAACTCAGCCCCTGCCCAGACCTGGACTCACTCCGGACCTCACTCCTGGACAGCTCATTATAAAAAATGGATCTGTTTTTCAGCCCTGTCACCACCCCTGTGTTGTGTTGTGTTCGATGCCAGGCCTGCTGGGTGGGGGGTGGGATTATTACCAGAACCCCGAAAGGCAGAAGTAACCCCTTTCTGCAGCTGGAGTCAACTTCCAGATCTGAGGTGGTGGTGGCTGCTGGGAAGCTGTTCTTGGACTATCAAGGGAGGAGACAGGGAGTGGTGATTTAACAAACTGTAAGGGAAAAAACGTGTCCCCACACCCAGAGATAACTGTCTTTCCATACAGTAGGACCCCTCCCAAAAGCCAGTCACTTTCCCTCAGAGCCCCTGCGGAGGAGGGCAAAGGCCCCATCCACAGGCAGCAGATGGTGGAGGCACAGACCGGTGGGGGCAGCCTCACCATCACACCAGCCCTAAGGGGCCCTGGATCCAGATCTACCTGCTACCAGCTTGGAGACTTTGGACCAGTCATTTAACTAAGCCTGGACTATCCCGAGGATTAAGTGAGGTAACAAATGCTAAACACCTGGAAACACATAAGGCGTTCACAAATAATCTTCAGAGAGCCCAGAGGCTGCACTTTGGCCTGTTCCACCTGCAATTCCCACAGCCCCAGCACTGCCCTGGAAGTCCCCTCCCCAAAGAGAACCCTCTCTGGTTTTCTCCAGGTGACCAGTCCCTGGAGCAGTGACTGGTCTCCCTGCTCAGGCGCTGGGCCTCACCCACGACCTTGGAGGAACATGGGAGAAAGCTTCACCAAGCCACAGTACTTTTCCACTGCACTGCTAGGCCACCTCAGCGGGCTTTGTGCTGTTCAGACAGGAGACAAAGTGAGCCAGGCTGGCCCTATCAGGAACCCACCCTAATCCTACTCTCAGAAATGAGAGTAAGGGACCTGCTGTGGGTGAGGGGCGGTAGGAATCCTAGAAAAGGGAGGGGTGGTCCCTGAATGAGTCAAGGGAATATCGAAGCCCACTAGAGAGAAATTTGCACTGGCAAAGCCCCCCGGAATATCTCAGGCGATCCCTACACCTAAGCACTCGCCCCTCTACCCCCTCACCACCAATAATAACGATTAAACCTCTTTCACCGCGCCTGTGCTGGGTCTCAGAGCAGCACAGTCGGCGAGGGGCGGGAAGAGGGGGAGCGAGGGGAGGGGACAAGAGAACTAGTGGTCCCGCCCGGTGATGTAGGCAGCCCGGGGAGGTGGAGCCGCGACGCCTGAAGGAGTCCCCACCGCAGCCGCGCTCTCGGTCTACCCTCGCTAGCAGCCGCCAGCCTCGGCTCCGGCGACCTCCCTGCCGCCGCAGTTTGGGCGGCGGGAACCGCGAGAATACCCCGCTATTCGGCCCTGGGCGGGGGCCCCCGCCACCCTCAGCTCTTGCCTCTTCCTGCTCCCCAGACGGTTGGAACCACTCCCGGGGGAAGCTATTCCTGGCCGCCCGGGCATCTCGGCGGCCAGCCCGGCTGGGCACCGGACATCTGCGAAGGTAGCCCCGCCCGGCACTGGGCATCTTGGGCACCGACTGTCGCCGGCACCGCCCAGCTTTTCGCGACTCCGGGGTGGAGGGCTTCTGCATACCTTCCCCCCCCGCCCGGCCCGGAGAGGAAGCCCGCGAGCCCCTGGCCCCCCTGGCCCCCCTGGCCCCCCTGGCCCCTTCGGCCTCCGCGATGCTGCCCTGGAGACGGAACAAATTTGTGCTGGTGGAGGATGAGGCCAAGTGCAAGGCGAAAAGCCTGAGCCCGGGGCTCGCCTACACGTCGCTGCTCTCCAGCTTCCTGCGCTCCTGCCCGGACCTGCTGCCGGACTGGCCGCTGGAGCGCCTGGGCCGCGTGTTCCGCAGCCGGCGCCAGAAAGTGGAGCTGAACAAGGAGGACCCGACCTACACCGTTTGGTACCTGGGCAACGCCGTCACCCTGCACGCCAAGGGCGACGGCTGCACCGACGACGCGGTGGGCAAGATCTGGGCGCGCTGCGGGCCGGGCGGGGGCACCAAGATGAAGCTGACGCTGGGGCCGCACGGTATCCGCATGCAGCCGTGCGAGCGCGGCGCCGCGGGGGGCTCGGGGGGCCGC